GGGTACAGCCTGTTTAACAGCAGAAAAATCCTTGGTGAAGCAACTGACTACATATTATGGTTATCAAAGCCCTTATCAACAGATGGAAGAAAGGAGACTCGTTGGTAGACGATTTAAGAAGTGCTTTGAATAATCCCCGATACAGGTAGTCAATTGATGTATTTGTCAAAAGTTGGCATCGAAATGGTGTGTGACAATGGCATTCTATTTCAATTAGTGACATAAAACTCATGTGCGAAGATGACGTCCTGTACGGTTGTCGTGCACTCCTCGCGACGCGTTGTGAAATGCTCGACCGTCTTTTGTATAACGGAATGCGAGAAACGAATGCAAACGAGATTTCGTTTCCAACCATAAAATGCGCTGCCATGAAAGTAATCCTTGAATATATTTACACCGATACACTTGCGCCCGAATCGTTAACGCTCGAAAACACAATCATAGCATACGCAGCAGCCGATTACTTTATGATCACACCATTACAGGATCACATATTGAACTTTATCGATAGTAAACTGACCACGCAAACAACAGACTATGCGGTGGATTTGTTGTCCAAGGCATTGGAAGCAATGCCGGATGCTGAATTGGTAAATAGGCTGTTTTACTTGTTGAGTAGATATATCGTATGTTCGCAATTAACAGCCATAGATAGCAAAAAGTTCACGTCGAGATCTCTGCAAGTTTTATTGTCATTGACCATGCGCGACGAGGCAATCTTTTTTGCAACAGATGAATACGACGTGTTTAGATATATCATGATATGGGGCGCACTTGAGGTGTCGCCTGATTTAGCAAGTCTTCTCGACTCCAATCTCCCTCGCTCAAATCACATGAATGATTTTACCGAATGGACACAGACGGACAATATTGTCAATGACCAATCGTATCAAGTGTTTCTAAATAAATTTGCCGGCGTTGTATCTCCAGTATGCCAATACGTAGATTTTAGAAGGATCAAAGCCGAAGTACTTCAAGATGTAATAGAACCTTTAGACATAATACCCAAAGAAACGCTTCTCGAGACATACAGAGTGCAAGCGCGGAACAAAGGGCCACTTTCATGCCGACGAGGGGATCCAAAAGCCGTCCCTCTACCGACTGCTATTTCCGAGTTGGCCACGTCATCTACATTGCGATGGGATGAAGAACTCCATTGGGACAAATTTAAATGTGGTGACAAGCTAATAATATCTGCCAATAATGCATTAGCAGAGACACATTCTCGATGCCAGGCTCATCAATCGATTAGTGCAAAGCTGCCTATTTGTGACAACGGAGTGTACGAATGGGATTTTGTGATAGTTCGAACTTGTTCAGTCATGTGGATTGGAGTATGCACGGAAGGAATAGATTTTGGAAAGTTTTTGGGAACGCAAGACGCATGGGTAATAGGATCCAATGGGACGAAATATAACCCACCGGCATCTAGCAGTCAGTATGGTGTTGCATTTGGTGATGGTACTACTGTTACTGTTCATTTGGACATGAACCAAAGGACGTGTGGATTCACTATTAATGGAGTGAAGTATGAAAACGCATTCACGGGTCTTCCTGCCAAAGTATATCCTGCGGCGTCATTACGATATCCTGGCAAAGTGCGACTCCAATTGAGAGAGGACACAAAAAAGTAAAAGTAAATTTAAGTTTTGTTACTGTTTGAGTCGCCAATTAATAAAATAAATTGACAAATTTCATTACTTGAGTTGTCTGTCGTTTTTCGTCATTCGACTACGTAATCGTTCCTGTGGGGGTACCGGAATTGTAAAACAGTCTTGAGTGTTGTGCCCCCAAACAAGTGGTTATTTTAATTTATATGAGACATTTTAAAACCTGTAGTCTATTGACACACAAGACAGTACCTTTCTTTTTCGATCTTTCGATCTCTTGGACTAATAAAAATATCACCATCTATTTGTAGAACAGGGAAAAAAAATTTAACTGTTAGTCATACAACATTTATAATAGAAATAAACAAGACTTAATAATTGCTACAGAATCGATGTTATTGGGAGTAACACATGCAGTTAGTATCTTTTTCTTTTTCTTTTTGATTGATAAGCAAGCATACAGCGCTTGCAGACAATCACATCTTGCCGCAAAGCTAATGGAACAATGATAAGAAGTGATCGACATCTGATAAGCTGCCATATTGTTTGATATTGTTGTATGAGTAGTAATAGTAAGGAAGAAGAAAAGTTGACCAAGCATGCGAACCGAATACACCATAGAAATAAAAGGGCCAAGAAATTTACTCTGATATTTGTATGACGATATGGTTTTTCATAAACATGCGCGCGTTTTGTTTGTTTTTCGTTACAGACTGCATGCTAATAGAATTTTATGTGTGTCGGTCTACTTTACAATTCGTTTACATTAGAGTATTTTTGAAGAGGGAGGATAAAGAAAATGGAAACCCTTATCGATATCGATATGCTTATCGCTCTTGGAATGTCAGATTGAGATCACAAGATTGCACAAGATTACACAGATCTAATCATGCAGGAAATCCATCTTTTTTTTCCTTAAGATATTTCCGTATGCTTTTATTGGTCAATGATACTTGAATTTTACACCAATGGAAATAAATACCACTATCAGAATTCCACAGCCTCGCACAAAGCGTTTCGACATTTGTTCGGAGATTTTTCTGTAGAATTCGTCATTTTTCTATAAACACACTTTATATACTTTCATTTATTTATTGTTACTGATCGTTGTGAACAAACAGATACCGATACTTGTGAATCGGCACTCGTAGGGGTGAGAGAGATGTGTGTGTGAGTGTGCATTCGCGTATGTGTATTGATGGATGAATGGATGAATGGGTGGATGTGTGGGTGCTTATCCATGATAGGATATAATAAATACCCATATTCCCGCATACAATGATCAACTTCACGCTGACCCAGACGGACTTGAAGCGGACGAACCAAAAAATATCCTGCCCTAGTACAATCTCTCTAAACAAGTCCACATCCGCATGGTCTTGTTTACGATATGATAATGCACTGATATCGCCGTGCTATCCTAAAAAGATGACTTTGTATAACTTTATATATCAGGATTGAATACGTAAAGGGAATGAGTAATGGGGAAGAAGGATCATCAGTGATAATCATGAATTTGACGTTATCTTTTTCTTTCGCACAAGTCCGTTTGCACCAACCTTAACTTTTTTTGGAATTGAAAATGTTGATAAGAAATGCAATATGTAGTTGTGTCAAAATGTCTTTCAATTTATTAGTCAGGAATTAAACTCAAATTAATTACATCGTATCCAATTTAACAGTTGAAACCTTCCATCAATTGACGACCAAAACTCTTCAAGTTTGACTTTTCAATTCATATAACTAACTTTTATTGGCCGAGATCAGTGGATTCATAATACATGTGAAAATGATGTACAGCATACATAGTTTTACTCATTATTCGCACGATAGCTGATTAGTCGATTGTACATTAGTAATATAAACAGAATACTTGTTGTTATATAAAGTGGAACGTAACGCGCCACAAGGTACACAGCATCATATTTAAGCTTTGAATATGATGAGTATATCATATCATATGCTGAGTATATCGAGCATGTTATCGAGCATGTTGTTTGATGGTGCGGTCGAGTATCGATTCCTAGAAAAGGGAATACAGCCATTACTATGAGAAACACGCGTTAATTTGCCATTCGTCTGTAAAAAAGGGCTGATACGAAACTACCACTATGAGACTACCACTATGAGGATACTTATAATGTGAATACAAAAGTTTTATGAAGTAATTTATGTTTTGATACACCATTCGTTAACTGCACTTGACTAATACTTGTAAAAACCCATAATTGTGGCGGTCGCGTTATACCATACACTTTTGTGCGACGATGACTTGTGTAAATTTATCGGAACTGTGTGCTCCCTGATAGAATTTCGACTTTCCTAATACGGAAAACCACCCGCCGCTATCCATTTCTTGGATTTCTTGGATAGGCTAGTTGGGCGCAAATCTAATACATATAAGGTAAATTTGTGTCACTTTTGATAAGAGAAACTACTTAAACTAGCATGACAATATCATTGGATGTCAGGATATCATATGTCCTACGGCTGGTGTTTGATAATCGATATATTGGCGAGAGACTGTGTGTGGTTTGGTATAACTATTTTTTTTATACGGCATATTCTAGCTGTGTTGTTGCTATTGTTTTTCTAATAGAGAAGTTGTAAATATACGGAGAATAAACGTTATCGGAGCTTCCGTACATTGTACTATATGGATGATCTTGCATATCTGCTGGAAAAACGGGAAATCATTGTTTCGGCAAGATACGAGACAAAAAACCCATGTTGTAACTGCAATTGTCTACGCCTCGTGTCTCTTTTTTATCACATCCGGTTTAGCAAATCCAAAAGATTAAGTTTTCTAGACTTCCCCATTAGTGCAAACTGTTATCGTCGTTCTACAATGAATCTATTGAAAAGGAAAGACAATCATGTGCTCATAGTATATATAGCTATTCAATACTGGTGTTTATCTATTTAACTTTTTCACAAAGTAGCACAAAAGATAAGTCAACGTGATAAATGTTCCACAACATTTTTGTTGATGTATAAATATACAGTATATACGAATAAATTAATAAATTAAATCAATGATCATTAATTAAATTAGTTTGTGTATATTTAATCAAACCACACATATTTTCTGTGTATCTGTTATGATTAAAGATCTCGTTGATCTCTTGTTGTCGACCAAAAAAAAACCTATATAAAGATATTGCATTTCGCTCATCCTGACTTCTTCGTTACCAACTTTATTTGGTATATACGCAACATTCGTTTTTATCACACTCGACTGTCCTACGGATTACGATCTTTATATATCCTTCTTTCGCAAGCTGGCTTTTACTATAAGTAACCTTGCTCTCACTGTCCCTCACACACACACACCTTTCTCTCTCCCCTTTACACTTTAATTTCATCACAATAAACCAATAAGTAGTAACTATGGGGTCCAACGGTACAGCTAATTCGACGGACACTCCTGCTCCCGTCCCGCTTAATCCCGGGGATGCCGCTTGGCTTCTTACATCTACCGCACTCGTCATGATAATGATTCCGGGTGTCGGTTACTTCTACAGTGGTCTTGCTCGCAGCAAGAATGCTCTATCGCTCATCATGTTATCCATGCTATCTCTTGCTGTCGTATCATTCCAGGTGAGTTTTGCTGTTACACTGCGCCACGCATGATTTTCGCATATCTATGTAATTTAACACACGCACCCTTTCTTTCAAACAGTGGTGGTTATGGGGTTACAGTTTAGCTTTCAACTCAAACGCCGGCAAGTTCATCGGCAATCTCGAAAATGCATTCTTTATGGATGTGGGTAGTGATACATCAACTACCGCAACAGCTCTCACGTCAATCCTCTTCGCCGTCTACCAAGGCATGTTTGCCGCGATCACGCCAGCACTCGCCATCGGTTCAGCCGCCGAACGTGGCCGCATCGTTCCTGCCATCATCTTCATCTTTATATGGTCGACTATTGTTTACGATCCCATTGCTTGCTGGACATGGAATCCACAGGGTTGGGCATTCCAACTCGGTGTTCTTGATTTCGCCGGTGGTACGCCTGTCCACATTTCATCTGGTGCTGCTGCTCTTGCATACTGTATCATTGTCGGTAAACGACACGGTCACGGAACTGATGAATTCAAGCCCCACAATGTTGCCAACGTCGTTCTTGGAACCGTTTTCCTCTGGTTCGGTTGGTTTGGGTTCAACGGTGGTTCAGCTGGTGACGCTAGTGCTCGTGCTGCTATGGCTTCATTCGTAACAAACTTGGCAACTGCTGTCGGCGGTCTTACCTGGATGTTATTGGATTACCGTTTGGAACGTAAACTTTCTGTTGTTGGATTCTGTTCTGGTTGTGTCGCTGGTCTTGTAGCTATCACCCCTGGATCTGGTTTCGTCGGACCACCAGCTGCAGTTGCCTTTGGTGTCGCTGCTGGTATTTGCTGCAACATGGCCGTAAAATTGAAGCACATTTTCGACTTTGACGATGCTTTGGATGTGTTCGCTGTCCACGGTATTGGCGGTCTCACTGGCAACATCTTGACTGGTATCTTCGCCCAGAATAAAATTGTCATGCTCGACACTGCAGCAGTACCGATCGATGGTGGTTGGCTTGATGGCAACTGGATTCAAGTACCTCGTCAACTTGCCGATTCTGCCGCTGGCATGAGCTACTCTTTCACTCTCACCTACATTATCCTCTTTCTCATGGACAAGATTCCAGGTCTTGCTATTCGTGCTGATCATGAAACAGAAACTCGAGGTCTTGACGAAGCTGAACTCGGTGAATTGGCTTACTACCACGTTGATCGTCTCATTACCGTCAATACAAGGACTGGCGAGACAAAGTCAATCAAGGAAGAGACAGTCCATCAGGGCAACGACACCAACGTCACGATTGTGTAAAATCTTTGCTCTCTATATGAAACATATCTGCTATATATCCACATTTATATTTTTACGCATTCACTAATATATATAGTTTCAGCATAAATTCTATCTTCATTTTTCTTAGACGGGTTATATTTTTTGTGGGCCATTCAAAACACTACTGGGGTTCAACTTTTTTAAAAAGTGGTATAAATAAATGGTTTTGTATTTTTATCTCGATTGTATAATAACCCCCCACCCCTTTTCTCCTTTCCTTACTCTACAAAATATAAATTTCTGTTATTTCATACGATTGGGATTGAATTTTGTGTGTTTGGGAAAAGCGTAGAGCTGGAAATGAGTTAGCGGTCGTTTTTCCGACGATAGCGCTTTGGAGATAGAAAAAAGAATTTAATACACAAGGACTTTTTGCTCAAGAGTTACTCTCGCGATGCACAATCAATGTGGAAAATATATACTTTTTTTTTTCTCGCTCAACGATAGTTTTCACGCGAATAAGCTTTTTTTAATCGATGGACTTTATTATTATTATTATTATCTTACTATTATTTTACGATTTTGAATGTGCCTAACAATTGATAATACAAAGGCCGAATTTTTTACTCATTATTATTACTGTGTATTTCGTTTTATTTGTATATGTTATTGTTAAGGTGACAGTGTCGACTTGTAATAAAACTGACAATACGAAAACTACGTGAGTGTTCTATTTTTTAATAGGTGTTGAAAATAATGATTTGTTTGCATGTCGACGACAAATCAACGCTGACTGATAAGAACATTCCAAATGCAATAACATAAATAAGTGTTTGTAGATTTCCACCAATAAAGGGGTAACGATAATGACTTGATGGCACAAACATAAACAATAGCGAAATATCCTAATAATTACACAATCTAACTCAAAAAGTCCACATGCATTGTCCAAATTGTACGTAATATATGTGATATGATATAATAGATATCGCGATTGTCCGCGAAATTTTTATCATTTTTAGACAGTGCAATGATATAACGATAACGATAATGATAACGATAATGGTTGACGTTTAGCGATACGTAGTTTGTGTCAGTTTATTTTTCAAATGCTCACTTTTTACTTTTAATTTTATGCGGTCTAATCCTCAACTGACCCGGATGATCTATGGAAACAGCAGGATAAAGACGGCCAGGAAGAGTATAATATGCAGCAGAATAATCGTATCCATTGATCGTAAATGAAATTTTCTTGTTGTTCAGGTCTAGATGTACCGTGACGATTGCTCCCTTTCCAAAAGGCTGCCCATATCTATTGTATTCATTGTTCGTACACTTGTATCCGTTAGATCCAATGGCCCACCCATGGGCACTTGTACCAAAGAACCCATTGAAATCAACACACTCAGCGCTAACAACGCCAATCCATACGTAGTTACATGGCTGTTCGACAATTATGTCCCACTCATACACCTCGGATCCGTAAAACAACTTGTTGGCTCGAATAGAAGGTCTAGTCTTTGTATTAGGGGCTGTCACTACGACGCACCCGTCTTCGGCAATATCAAGGCCATCACCACAATGCTTTGGATCCCACTGCAGAATCATCCCATCACGCATCTGCGGTAATGGAATATTGCCTAGTGCATAATATCGATACAACTGATTGATAACGTCTGCTGATATTATACCAAGAGGTTCGATGTAACTGGCAACAACGCTGACTTCGATTCTCCGTAAATCAATCAAAGGTATAAACTGCTGTATCTGATCATTAACCTTTTGCAAGTCTTGGATTTCTAACGAAACACCTTCAACCACCCGTTGCTTTTCAGAATCGTCGAGCTTTTTCAACGCTGCTTGCGTAGGTAACCGAGATCGCAACAATTCGAATATCGAGTCGGACGTTCGAGCCGCCGTATGCAATATAACGTATCGAAGCAGCGCATATTCCGACGTCACGAATGTAAACTTTGCATTCCCTCCAGTCACCTTCATCAAAACCAACAAAGCATCTACTGTGATATTACTATAAGTGATTTGGTCTAGAGATTTCTTGCCGAGATGCTCCAGCAAGAGATCGTAGAGCATATTGGTTCGAGAACTACCCAATGTCGCTACAGCCTTGGATAGCAGCAATGCCAAGTCGTTCATGCTTTTATTGCGTATCCGTTTTTTGGCAATCGAAATAATTGTCTTTTGTAATTCATCAAGTCCAACATAATACGCAGCGTAGAATATATCAACCAAAGTGTCGACAGTAACAGAGTCCTTTTCGATCGAATCGGTGTATATAAATTCTAACACGATTTTCATGGCCGCTGTTGTTAGCTCTCCTAGTACGATTTCGGAATCGTCGACTTTGATTCCTTCAGAGAATCGTCGTATGAACGAATTGATTTCTGAATTCTGGTTGGTATCTTCCGGTGCATATATCATTTGATTAAAGTAGCGACACCGAGCCGCTAGAATGATACGGCTGGCGTGGAGTTCTCCATCAGAGCATTTTATTTTTATGTCGCTGTATCGAGGGTCATTGATAACCAACTTTAGGTCACTTGCGAGAGTGTTAGGGCGAGGCATCGCATTGCAGTAAATGAAGCAAGCACAGTAATTGCAGTTATAGTTACATCTTCTACCTTTTTTATTATTTTTGTTATCCGCAGTATTTAAAAAATGCTGGTGAGACGCCAGTATAAATTAGTGTTACTCGAATAAAAAGACGAACATTCTAATCAACGCCTCTTTACGTCATTATATAGAGACTTTTCATTTCAGCCAGTAACTGCAATGCAATAAATATGCGAAGGATTTGGAATTAGAAAACTTGTTGAGTAGCGTCACAGGGCAATATATTAATATTAATATTCACTTTACGACACTCAATTAATTAATTTTCTAATGTTTTTTTTCTTGTCAATTGTCGAGAGTGGTTATTCAATATACATAAAAATCGAAAGTTGCTTGTAGACGATTCTTTAAAGGTCTATTTGGTGACTTTCATCTCGCAGTAATTCTAGGTGGATTGACCAACCATTCGATGTCGCGATAAATAGCCATTTAAGGATAACCTTCATATGCCTGGATGGCCGCAGGAGAAGAAATCTTCGCCACGCCAGGTTTAATCATGTGCGTTTGTGGGTTAAGGATTTCCGGTTAAGATATTTTTGACAAAATTATTATAGAATCCTTTTAAGACTTGTGGAATATCAACGAATTGGAAATTTTGGATAAAAGACTCTTTGGTGATAATTGTTATATTAATGGTAATGATGTAGATGATAGTAGTGGTAGTGACAATCTTGTTTAACACTCGTAAAGTAGAAAAGAAAATTTATATAAATTTTTATTTAGACAAACAATTATTTTTATACTAATCCTAAAGCTGTCATATTACGGAAAACGATAACATGAATAACGTCATCTAATCCTGAAATTCTTTGAATAAAATAGAAGCAGAGTTAAGTTTTATCCTTTAACTCAACTTCAATCACATAAAATTACTACTAATTACAATGACTTCAAATCAACTACAGATTGTCATCTCCTTGTTCCAAAATTCGCACCATACATACTTTAGTAATAGCGCCATATAAAAGTGTCTGATAGATAATTACTAATTTATATAACAACAAGCTATTCAGAGCAGCAATCCAAAATATGCAAGCAATGCCTCAAATATCAAACAATTGAACATCATCAAAGTGACCAAGGTCCAACGCTGACATCAATGCGTTACCGTATTGCAGATGATACACTCTGTAAATAAGCAAGGATTTCGTGTCACGTAAAATTTTCTTTGCAATTGGTTAATAGTTGACCAAAAACTACCATTGTTAGCATGTTGCATAACAAGCATGCACTTTTTTGTTTGTAATGCCAAATTCGAATCTTGGCGTGGATTTGTTAAACATGTAACAGAATAAGAATCAATCACTTTAATTAATTAAAATTAATAATATCGATAATTGCTTACCCCGGAAATAAATAATTCCAATTCTTGATATTACGTATGATCTACATGTTCTAAATTTGTCCAATGCTTGCATGTACGTCGTAGCAGAACACTGATAATATTTGTGAGAGTATATGGCGCTTGAGTGATGTTAATGATTCTAATATTATATTTTGCCGATTGTCTAAAAGCGGTCGATTTTGCTGTCACTGCGGATATCGATATTTGTCCATTTCGGTAAGACTGATTACCACCTACAAATGTGTTCGATGATAGCGGCGCAGAAATGAGGAAGAAATACGTCACCAACTATTAATCGTATTATTGTCTTTACACAACCTACCCAAGAGCCGTCTCATCCGTAAATTCCAATTCTTGTTTGCGTCCTCCATATTTTAATACAACTGGCTAGTTAAATACGAGCCTTTGCTTTGAATTCTGTCTCTTCAGATTTTTAAGATAAAAGTTTGCCCTGATTGAAGAGAAAAATGTTGATGGCATATTCCAAGTAATAGTAACTATCATTTCTATATTTGACCAAATTGTCATCTACTTCACATTTGATAAAAAGAACGTAAATGTCTGTTCTGTTGCATCGTTTACTTTGCCGTCGATTATTATGAGATTCAAATCCAGTTAGGTTTAACAATTGCTTTAACTAATCAAATATATAAGAAGGCGCGTTCATTATATGTGAGTGCTACTTTTAATCATTGTCATTTGTAAAAGACAACTAAAACATATTCACTAATGGCATTGCTAATACTAGTAATTTTTTTTTTATAGATAATGCCTCAATTTAATGGCTTAATATTAAGCCGTTCAGCCGATTATACCCGTACTATTTTCCGTTCAAAATCATACGTACTCTATCTATATTTGTCTTCCATTTTATATGGATTATTGATCTATTTACTCTCATGGCATTCGAATAATTGATTGTTCGAATCTAAGACATATAAACAGTTTGTATAGTGCATCAGGTGACTGCTGCGGAAGAAATGACCAATTTAATATTGTTTTCTATATTGCTGTATCAAATTTCTTTGCCAGCTTCTCAGTAACGTGTATACAAGGTGCAAAAAAAATTACATTAAAGCTCGAAAGTAGTAGTCTTGTTAACAAATTTTAATCATAACTAATTCGATTTTCCTTATATTCGCACATATAATTTGATAAATGAATTAGAAAACCATGTGGGATATTTGCCGATACTCCATTAATATTTATTATAAAAGTAATTATGCTTGAATCGGATCGGCAAGTTAAAGTCACATCCTCTAATACTAATACCTAATGTCGAAACAAACCACCTGATCGATAAGCAACTTCTAATTTACTGTGCATAGCCGTAGCCCGCTTTTCTGACACGGGGTAAATTTAGACGCTGCCCTAAAATCTGACACGGTATACAAGCACAAAATAGAAATACGCAGAAATTATCGACCGCGAAAAAGATATAAACACGGGTCGAATTCCATCGTCAAGAATTATCGAGTTAATTCCGTGATATTTATTAAATAATTGCCCTTTGAAATCAATTACGATACGGACTATCGATTAGAGCAGAAACATTCGAAAGGTATTGGTACGCAATTACGCGGATAATCTATCGACACAACCTAGGCTTATTGATAGTGAGCGATGGAAATATTGACTAGTCAACCCTTCGGTTCAACGATAATCGTTGGTACCCTTATTTGGATAAATTACGGATTGATTAAACGCGTGAATAATTAATTTATTAATTTTATAGATCACTCAAAGCATAGTACAGCTAGGGCGGTAGTATAAGCTAAGCTTGGTGGTTGGTGAACACTCCTACGTAAAAGATGATATCGTTCTCACTAAAAATGTAACACTTATAACGTTTCATTGACATAGCTGATGTGCCTAATTTGTGGATGCTCAATATTTTTAGGCATACATCACTTCTACATTATGGTTGATACATTTTCACTAGGATTAAGGTCTGAACCGTTTGATAGTCTGTCAAATTACTTTTATGACATTCGTTTCAGGAAACTCTGTACAATATGACTGATGTGTTTGGGACATTTATTCCAACCTTTTCCTTTGAATTTTTGGCTTGCGTTTTTAGAGTATTTCAATATAAATGCATCAGCCATAATATATAATATTACAAACTTGGCAACCTTGCATGTATTTTATAATGTATCATCAATGTGATAAGATAAAGCAGCGATGAATAATTAAAATATCTGTAAGTGTATTAATAATAATGAAGCATAAATATGTATTTGTTTATTGACAGCAAATGTTCTGCAATGAATAACCTTTAAAGGCCATGCATGCTATTTATCCACGGTCAGATTTTGAATATCAGCACCGTATAGTAATGTCTTCAAAGTCTCGCTGTTATTTATGTCAGAAGCAAAATAAAGTACCTCGACATCTTCTCGGCAATACTGATGCTTAACTATCTTCAAATTCTTAACTAGGCATGGGTATTGTCTTTTGATCATTTTAAATACACGGAGAAACGCATGTGTCCCAAGCCTATTAGGATATGGATATCAATAAAACAAGAGCTCCCAGTGCATAGCAATACAATAATTACACATACCATTTAAGTTGCCGTTTCCTAAAGCGCGGTACAAACATAGGACTTCCCGCCTTCAGCACGCACGGATATTCGCACGCGTAGTATATAGCTTCTGCAGAAGAAACTGGCTTTAGGGCCGACGGTTATTGGCAAAAAACTGTCATCCAATGCATACCAGCAACACGCTCCTCATCCGAATGGTAACCAGATCGTCTCAGTGCCTGGAGATAATGACGGAACTAAATATAAGAAGATACAAATAAATTAGTTATTGTATATTAAGAATCACTCAACAGATACCTTGATTGCTGCCACTATGTAATTCTGATAGAGGTTGAGGAAGACTGTCTGTATGGTGTTCAAGTCCAAGCTGACAAAAATGTCCTGCCAACCAGGATGCATCATCCTACAAATGAATTAATGGACACGTTCAGACATTTCGTCCCATTATCCGTGACAATCAGACAACATAATGAAAACCACACACTGAATCAGCTTGTTTTTGAGGTCCTTAATGGAGGTATGCATACTGACTGAGATTGTATCTTTCACGTCTACCAAACAGAATATGTTAAGAACAAGACAACTTGGTTGACACTGAATTTAGTGCAAAGAATGTAAAAAAAAATAAAAATTTTTTTGCACTTGCACATAAAGGATACGCATGTCCACATATCGGGAATAATCGCACTTCACTTCCAAGGTCTTTGTATTTATCAGGACACCACACCATGAGAAATCTAACAAAGAATATATCAATATACAAGTGGTTAGATTCTAGTTTTCTAAAATGTATCAATACATCATGTTGATAATGCTCACCAATAGGTTCTTCAACAACCATGCCATCACCCATTTTATGTCCACAGATTTCTGTCTCAAAGTTTGTTATACTCTTTGTCTTGTTTACCAAGCATCCATAATGTGAATGTCCTATGAATAAAAAGTAGGTATCTCGTCATCTCCATCAACTTGCCTTGAATGAATAAGTATCACAAGTACCTTCAAACATCACCCTTAAAAATTCTTCTGCCTTTCCTTTGTCGAGACTTATAAATAAAAAGTCATCAATATAGCGGAGAAGCAGCTGCAGATTACAGATGCATGTAAAAAACCCCCAAGGTTATTATCATTAACCAATTCATTAAAAGATCTATTTGCAAAAGTACGTCTTGTTATCTAGCTTACACTGTCCTCATCACGGACAAACGGGAGCTTTTCTCGCTCCATTTCATTAAAGAAATAACTGCAAAACAATTTTGATGTTTAGCTAAATTCACAGAGAAAAGAGGCTTCTTTTTTTGCGGAAGTTATTTACCTGCACAACAATGTTGAAATTATAGAGCCCTGCGGAATACCAGTATGCTGTTTGTAGTATTTGTCATCAACCTAGTTGATTAAACAGCTATCAGTAGTTGTTATATATTGTTTCGTACACGTATAGATAATTCCTGCCTTGATGACATGTTTCTTCACATGCTCTTCTAACAGTTCGAGAAGCTTGTCTGTCGACTTTTTATAGTAGATACAGTCATCAACAAAGATAGCATTGTGCCTGGACTCGGCTAGTTCATGCGCAACGTTGCTGAACTGTGTAAAATTGTCTAATGATGGAAAAAAATTCGCGCGACATTAGAAGCATAGGCCTCTGCAATAAGTTCTTTATCATATAAGCATTTACTTAATCTCACCAGCGTATGAAGGCCGACGTATCTGATGCTTTGTAATACTATCGCTGGTTGAACGAACGAGCCAAACATTTGCATCTCTATAATATTCGCTCTTTAAGACAATGTCCTTGACAATGTCCATCAGGACGTTTTGGTTAATCGTGTCAAAACATGCTTGTATATCAACTTTTGCAAAGTACAATAACGCGCTACTGTCGAAATCATAACGAAAGCAATTGCCTGTTAATGTAATTTGATGTATATTCGTATCCGAAAAGTTGTACAGTGATCATGCTGTCTATTTCGGGAACAATACCTGACTGTCAATCGTTTTTTAAAGGCTTTTAAATGCTCGTAGGCTCTTCCTAGGCCGCTGATATAGGAATCGCCGAGCACTCGCGACTTTAAGGAGTATTTTATCTCAATTAAAAAAATCTAGTTTCATTTCAAGTCTTGCATGCGCTATGAACAGAACAAATTACCTTTTCCAACGTCAAAATATTAAATACATCTGATAATAAATTATTTGGAGACGGAGCCTTTTCGTTAAGTATCTGTGAAGGCTGCAAACCAATAATTTAATAACAGGTTTCACACGCGCAAGCGTTGTTCTTTATACACGGGTTTATATTTATAATATTGCACATCCAACTTACGGCTCCATTTATTCGTCTAACTGGCATATTTAGATTTGTGATTGGTCTAAATCCGCCGACCTTAGGAGCCAATCGAAGAGTCGCGTAACCGAGAGTTTTTCCCTCATATTCTGATAACTTGTCCTGTAATAGTACACTTAATATTTTGGGGGAGAAATAACAATAAACGAAGGAGATTTTCTTAGTCATACTTGGGGAATCTCGACATATGTTGATTTCATCAGCTCCATTCGCTTATTCTCCGTAATCATTTCCCATACGTCGTGTCTAAAGTAGACAACGCGCTTTTTTTGGGAGGCACTTTCTGTTATATAAAAAGAAGTCTGCGAGTGATAATTGTTATTTACGGTCCGGAGATTTTACCGGGGGTCAGTGGGAAAGTAAAAAAGGCTGGAAACATGGAAAAGGCAAGCTTACACGGAGGAGGCAGCAAACAATGGATTCCATTAGCCACCAAATAAATTCTCCAAGGAGTTGTCTCATTACATGGGATTTGGCGACTATATTCAAAGATAGTTGGAGTCATAACAAGCAATCAAGCATAATTTCATAAATATCAATGCGTACCTGCATCTTGGTCTTGGACTGCTCTTACAAGCCAACCACATTTCTTTAGCTTGATTCCCTGGAGCATTTCGTGTAGGGTTGTGCACTCGTTTCGTCCACAGCAAATAAATTTATAAATTTCTTAAAAAGAAAAAAAAAGGAAAGAAATTGGTTAATCTATCCAATTCGTATCCAAAACTAGCCTACTAATTTGTCTTACTCTCGAAAATAGAATTTCTATTCTCAACGCCACCCCAGAACGTGTCAGGGACGAGCCGTCTTATGACGCGATGAACAAATGCCGCGACCTATATATATAACTTCATAATTAGTAAATTACATCGAAAGAATCTAATCCAATACATGAGAAATGTGATCAATGTGCCTGGCCGTAAGTTGAGTCACAGGCTAAAGGGTCGCCGTTAAATTCCTAAATAAGTTTTGTTTTTTTTTTACCATTCTATTCAGAATTCCCTATTTCGATCAAGCTCAAGCGAGTATCATTAACCAAATACCTTCTTGGGACAGCATTGATCATAAAATGCCGGATACGGACAGCTTTTGTGTGAATTTATGATTTTTTCGATATCTTTTCCAATATGAACGAGATGCTTCGGGACCGGTTTCTCTCCGGCAATCTAATTAAGGGTCAGTTAATATAACTATAAAAAAACTTGGTTTGCAAAATAATTGAGAAACCATGTATACCATTATATCGGCCTCACGATAAAACGTGTTGCCGAGAGCGTTTACAACTATTCCCTTCTGGTGTACCGTATCAAAGACGTTTGGCATTCCAAACTGTTTAGGAAATATGTATCGCATAACGTGTGTGGCACCATACTCTTTTCTTCCCCCCTTTTTCATTTTTACAATACGGTTAAAGATATCTGCGAAATAGCAATAGAATTATATTAGCTATATTAATTACATATTATTTTACAAAATTCTCACGTACGTTTGAAGGAAAGGCCTATCCAGATTTGTTTCTGAGTACGTCTCGCTCGTGCATAAAATAGAGCTGACGGGGAAAATGTTAGATTTGTATACGTTCGCGTTGGCTTTTCGTAAACGTTGCCTGCCGCGATCGATGCGTCCGTGCTTTTCGATTCAGCAATCGTAGATTTTTCGGGCAAGTTCTTGCCGATCGACTCCTGTTGAGAAACATCTGGATCGAGGTCTTGTTTCGGTTCGTGCAAACGTCGTTTCTTTGTGACATTCTTTCTGGTAATATGAGCAACCTCCGGTGCACTACCACGCTTTTTACTGAAAGCTGGGTTAGTGCGAACAGTAGCATTAAGGTTGTGATTAATCGGAGGACCTATTCATTACAATAGCGAATTTTAGAAAATTAAATTGAAAATTTATTTCTTCTGGTATCTAGAGTGTAGCATTTGCATTTTCCTTACCAGTAATCTGAAAGAAGCAGCCATTCTCCAATCCGATAAAGATTGCTGCATTCTTTAGAAGATGTTCTATAAATTTAGCCCCAATTCTGTGGCAATTGAAGGGAGTATATGTGTTATATGAGACAAAAGACTACTGGCTGCTTCTTATCAATATGCACGTTTGCCCACCTACGAAAGAGCGTTTGCCATGAAGTCGAAGTCTTTATGTATTCCACAAGACTATTCGGATAGAAATTCTCTGTGATTTTTTCTTTGCCAACACGTTGCTATTATATAAGCGTAGAATTATTGGTAAATAAATATAGTTCCGCTTATTAGTACTGCGAGTAGCAAGTTCATATACCTGTCTATATCCGTTCAGCAATACATTTCTCAAGAATGTCTTCCCGACCATTATTGAATCTTCAATTACCTTGTCTACTAACTGAATGAGGCATAGAGTTTAAGGTTTATTCTGATTTAAAGTTTATGCAGATTGTCACGTTATCACTTACATTTGGAAGGCCAAAACGTTCTACACTTTCCGAAGTGGGCTCCACCTTCGTGTAAGCAAATGCATACGAATCCCTAAGAAATCTAATATAATCTTCTTTATCTTCTTTGATTACAAGGCAAACATCCGGTCCGACCACCTCGTGCAAATATGTCTCTAAACTTGTGATACGATCTCCGAATAGTCTTCTTAAGATTAGCGAGCTGTGAATCTTTGGCATGTTCATTGCAACCTTTGCCGTTTGAGATTCCTCCGTATCTGTCCGTGTATGCTCAGCGGATTCATCAGATTGTTTACGTGACTTTGGAGTCATCGATATACCTAGTTCTTCGAGAAAATCATCAGTTAACACGCTTATATGACTGGACGACCTGCGAGTGTCTAACGAGGTCGATGCTGAGGATTCCATCGCTTCTAGGAAACGCTCAAGAGTCAAATCAACCGGCATTTGCGGTGCAGTTGCGTACTCTATAAGATGAAGATGAAAAAGTGCAGGTAAGAGAGACAATGCAATGCGGTTAGCCAACTAGATTTGATAAAAGAGGATTTTGAATTATCGTATGACGATTACAACGTAAAGACTGATTATCAATATGATAGATAAATAATTGCATGGTAAATCAATCAATTATCATCAAATAAAACTAATTTAGGCTTTACCGATGCAACACTATTGTGCTTGGGTATATCATCGCGTAAAGAAAATAGGTAAATACTGAATAGAGTTACGTACCTTTTACCGCGTTTTTGATTGCCTTTTCCTTCCAAATCGGTGTAAAGCTGGCCAAAAGTTGAGGATTGATATAACCGTGAGTAACGTCGTAATTTTTTATACTTAAATAAACCATCCGTTCTTCATTAGACGGCATCGCGTCCACAATGACAGAAAAAGCCTTCACAACAATAAATGGAGCGAACAATTTCATTTCGGCCACGCTTAATAAACCCATGAGAAAATATTTTTTTTTACATTTTTGGTTTGTCAACTTAATGCACAGTTACGCGGACACGAGTAAAGGATAGCATACCGGTTTAGGGGGGAAGGAGATAATTCGCATTGAACTATGCTATTACGGTCGTTTAACTTTGCCCTAAAGATGTTCGCATGTGGCCTGTACTCAATCTATCGCAAGGCACCAATTTCGTTAATTCAATGTAGAGAATTTTTGCATTAAAAAAAAAAAGTTTAGAATTAACTCGAATGGGATTAGCACTTACGTTAGTAATTTGTCCATGGAAAATTTGATCCTCGTAGAATGCTCTCTTCTCATTAAAGAAGCGAGTAATAATAGAAAGAATCCATGGCTCTGAAATTATATGCGACATTCTTTAGTATCGTCAAATTCTTATGATGGTGGTCAATTAACTATTGAAATGGTTTGACGAGGTCAACATCTCTTTCTCGCGAGACGTAAGGGAAAAAAAACTTTCCCCCCTGTCAGTTGTACTTGTACTGGTTTAGGCATACGCAATTAGTTCATAAATACTAAACACGGAGAAAATCGACAGTCGACAGACATTGCCGATCAAAGATCGTCATAATAAGATAGAATTCATATTATTATGAACACAACGTGAGTTTAATTAGCAGACGGTGAGAACGTAAGACTGCTTATTAGTGTAACAAAGACTCCGCGTTTGTGGGAAGCCGTCAAAAGGCATAAACCCGTATTTAGTAAGGCTGGATGCTGTAAAGACTTCCAGTACTGTTATCATTGACGCAGAAAGATACTTGCCACGAACAATTCGAGTAATATGGCATCAACTTATATTGGCCCCTTCTGCAATACGGGCCAAATGAAAAAATATCCCCTTTTTTTTTTCGCGGGTTAGGGTTGATCAGGTTTTGGGATTTTGCAGATGAGATGCACATTGATGAAGGTCATATTCGATAATGGATCACGCTCTTGTTTGTAGATCTTCCCACACGGTTGAACGGCTTTAGAATGCTTACGCGTAAATAAGTATATTTTATACAACATTCAGTTGCGCGCTTTCTACTTTAAATCATATAAATACTACATTAACCGTCCCCACGAGTTGCGAGGTGTGCTGTTCAAATAACGAACCAGTAATTATGGCTCATGTCTAGCTGCCAATAAAAACGTCAGCTCTCATTAGTAGAAAAGCAAGGTCAGGGGGTCTAACACAAATCTTATGATTTGCGGTCTCGTGTGATCCATTATCATTATTGAGGGCCCGCCTTTATTCTACAAACGTTCTTTCAACTCTGGCGGTCACAAATCAACCCCTCGATATCATAATGGCGACATTCAATTGGCATCAAGACATAATTGGCCTGACCAATTCATTTCATTCGTTCAAGTAAGTTCCTGGTTTGTCCGTATATGAAGAAAGTAACAGCACTAGCACAAGCGGCCTTAACAGCAGCAGGCGTTAGTCCTTTATACAATCCTAACAGACCTTCCTTATGTAATATTTCCTTGATGCAGGTCAGAACGGATGTTGAATACACGGGAACATTATGGACGACGTAATCCATCCTATTAGGCCCTTGTATCTGCATTCGCTTCCGTACAACGTCGAGTGGAAACACAACCGTCTTGGAGAATAATCCGGCTAGAGCACCGCTAGTTAGATCTATTATAGATCTCATTACGTTTGATTGATTGGATTTCTGGTTTTGAACAGATAGATGTAGTATGAATAACGTATACAAGGATGGTGGGGGACTGATTTACGGTTTCCGGTTATACCTGCAGCCGTCTCTTGATAATGTCATAACATCCGAAATTAATACCCATGTATGGCATGATTTGAATCGCTGCTGGCTTTACTCCTTTGAAGAACCCCCCGATGCCTTCGTAGCGATAAATTTGCCTCAATGCGTGTGATAGACTGTTATAGATTTTTTTATTCCCTTGGGCTGCAAATCTGGTTCGGAGCAAGTCGAATGGATACGTCGTGACGGTGGCAATACATCCGCACAAAGCACCACTAATAAAAGGCATTAATATGTTCGGTATTGGCACAGATGTGTTCATTCGTTTGAGTAAAGCATCTACTTGTTGATAGCTCAAAAACTGGACCGCACCATATGAAAGGTAGAGACATTCGGCTGAGAGATTGCCTTTCCATAGCGCCTGTATATTGATTGGGAAAACGATCATATGGTTGAATAGGTAGATTTTTTATAGAGCGATTAAGCCGAAACTTACTCGTATCCCTTCTTCTTTGACAATTAATTTCAGTCCATGAAACATGCCACGATATTTCGGTCCATGGCGAACTGTTTGCAGCTGTATTAATGATTATGGGAAAAGCACAATGCTTACTATTAGCAGGTCGCTGACTAGTTGAGTGTTTAACCATGGTATCTACTCTTGTAGTAGCTACAAAGTATAAGTGAATTACGCTAACCTGTAGTCTAATCTTTATGACATCAAGTGGAGCTACTGCAAATCTTAATTAGCATTCAGTTCGCCCATCGGCAGATCGAGAAACAACGTCAGCAAGATTGCATAAACCATACTTTAGCATATCTTTTGTATATACCTGGAAGCCATGCCAGCAACCACACCACATATTGATGTTTGTAGCATTGACAGTCTAGACGAAACAATTGGCTCGTCCGCGTTTACATCAGCAGGCGACTTTTGTTTATCAAACTGATCCTGACTGCTAACTAGAGCCATCATATTATACAACAAAGCTAACGTTCAACGATACAGGAAGGCTCGAAAGGACAACAGTTTTATACCTTGGCTCATGATCAAAAGCGTCAAACTATTCAAGAAAGGCAGGACTCGGTCATGCACAAGAGACTAAAATAAATGTGACCGACCGACCACCAATCACAGTCAGATATAAACAAGTCATTAGGTCAACAGGCCATACTAATACAAAGCTTTTATTTTCATCCGATGAGCATAAAGCATTATCTACGTAGTCTTAACCAACGGTCACTTTATGGATAGTGTTAGTGCTATCTACATGAACTTGCAATCTACATATTGGAGAATGGTTTTCAGTTATTATTTACACTGTTTACACCATGTTATTCCATTCTAATCTATTGAAATTGACAATACACACCTGCTTTCATCAAAGTCCGCAGTATACATATAGCCTTCACGCACTACTCTGTGTTTCTCAGGCAAGTCATGCTTTCGTACACACTACGACAAACAAAAGTTAGCCCACGCAGTTTGGTAAATAATACCACCTTACGTAAATATTTATCCTTCCTTTACCTCAGCGTCGGAGACATGGTCTGGCTTAACAGTATTGTCGTCAAGGAAAACTTTCCCAACTAGTTTGGATTGCCAATGATTCAAATCAACCATTTTTTTTTACAATGATATTTGATGAATGGTGATTTTTTGAATGCGAACGAGTGTTGACTGTCGTAGCTATATAACCGAATTCCAAGTTGGCGTGGGAGAATTTTTCAAACCACTGTCTGGGCTAAAACAGGTTTGTCACTTTATTCGATGTAGTCACAGGCATCATGATTTGCAAACAAAGCGCCCAAAAATATAGTTTGCTATGCAATCATTACCGTTTTTGAGGGACAGTCTAACTAATCTTATTCTAGTGCTTGTACTCTCATTAGCCAGTAACGAAATGGGAGAGACAAACGTTGGAATGTTGGGGAATATTACTTCAAATCTGGCTTAGCACGTTTCACCGTAAATGAAAGTTTCTGTATCCGTTAAGCCCCTGCCGCAGTCAACATAGTTTATTGTCCAAACAAATATTGTTCGTCTATGGGAATACAAATCTACTTAATAGGAACGTGCATAAGCTATTGCAATGGAAGATTCTTGCCGAAAGACTATAGTAAAACAACATTTTGACCCCCACGTGATAAGCATCCCACGCTATTTCTCTCTGGTAATACTTTGCGATTTCTTAAAAAGACGCTTACTGCCTACTTAGCTACTATCATGTCATTAAGGCAAATTGCGAACATGAAGAGCATTCAGGTTCAAGTTTCGAATGCAAACTTAGCACTAATACAGTTATTATTCATTTTTGAGCCCAGGAACTGATACATTTTGACATAAATCGAGATAATTAAATGTAGCAGTGGGCATTCCTCATACTCGTATTATCGATGCCGATAGAACAGATCATCGGTTCTTACAATACTTTACCTTGCTGTATTAGCTTGACACATGAATTATGCATACTCTATTTGGAGGAGTATGGTACTATAGTTCTGTGTCTCTTGCAACTCTTATTTTAACTAGCCTGTATTATTTAAAACATGGAGAACAGGAATTGAAGTTTACGGATGAGACGGTCTTTGAAAAGAACAGCCTTCTTTTCGTTAAATTAAATTTGTCAGTATTAGCACCCATTCATTTAACATGTATTGTTTTCAATGCTAACGCTTTTAACTTGCAGTTTTGGTATCATCAACGTTTTTAACAATGCTGTGGACACGTAGTAACATTGGACGTGCTAAACATAATAACTGCCACTGTATATTTTCAGTGATTTCAGAATCCAAATCCGTCAAGGCAAAATCATCAACAGTCGTTGATTTATTATTTTTAGTTTATTGTCCTTCCAAGCAACTCCCCATTCAGTAGCACTATTCTTGAAAAAAATTTTCTGCTAATTGGTATTGACTGCAAACGGGAAGGTGGTGGGAAAAGTATATCATCGATCGTTCTAAAATCGCGAATAAGCTACGGGAAACAATTGGCAATATTGAAGAATTTTCAGATACCCCGCGAGATAACCACCCATTAATAATTCAACGGAAATTATTTTAGAGTCGGTTGTAGACTATTGAAACCAGCAATGATCATGGCTCTCCAGAGACCACAAAAGATTCAAGATATAAAGTATTCTATTCTGCAAAAGAAATCGAATCTAGTGATAATGTAACGCATGCTTCCTTAGAAAATAGCTTATCTGATGTTTCTCAACCCTGTAACCTTGCAATGAAGAAAAAACGCCCCAACAGATATTACTTCCTCCAGGATACCTAACCCCAGAGAATGGGCCATCGATTACGGTAAGATCCAACCGGCTTTTCTACATAATCTATCAGCATTAGCATACAAATGGTCTCTAAGAAAATTTTTTTATAAAGATGTCAGTCTATATTTTCTGTAAAAGCAAACACCCCGGATGTTTTACCATACAGCCGCAAACGTGAACTTTTAATGGATGTGTTACCATAGGCATAATTGGTTTATCAGAAAATACAACGTTATGCCAGTCGTAATGCTGGTAATCACATGTCCACTTGAGTTTAATCTCTTTGCCTTTGGCGTAAAAAGGGGAACCCGCTTGGGCAAAATTGCAGCATATCCAAGTCTAGAAAGCTCATTACGGACAGTCCGTTCAGTAACATTCAGCTCTGGATGCTTTTTTTCTGGTGCAACTTTCATTTCTGCCGTAATTTTCTTGGACAATCCTTCCTATTTGACGCCGCATAACGGAGTAATTTTTCGTAAACGACTTTTTTCCCGCAAAAGCTGACATTACTAGTACGTTCACAAGATCGAAGTGGGACACCAGTTAGTTTAGAAATTTCTACGCACTTCACGATTTGATGATTGGGTTTTTTGACGAAAAGTTAAAAGACAAACAAATATATATGTTGCACGACACTTTCTGAATAAGGTAGACATGACAAAAACGCGTTTGTTGTTGTCATGTAATTTTTATTGGTACAAAAAGACGAGGAGGTTGTACCGCCAGTATTATTTTTTCGGGACTGTATTAATAAGTACAGTCGAACCTGGTTATAACGAAGATCTGTTTATAATGAAGATAAATTTTCTCCAAGCCAATCGTTTTTGAGTATCTGGCTGGCTATAGCGAATTTCATTAAGAAACTTGGTTATAAGGAATATTTTCTCTGGTCCCGTAGGATTCGTTATAACCAGGTTCGACTGTAGCAGTAGCTCTTCTTCCATCATCAAATTCCTCATGATGTTGTGAACATCGAATGAAATAAATCGACAATACTACTGATCTTAGCAGTATACTCCCGAATTCCCTTTATTATTAGAATGCGTATTTTATTTCTTCTATCGTCGTAATTGATTATTAGATCGGACACTCCAATAAACGGCTCACTTAAGCATCGATTTGATCAAACTAGTAAGCTGTCCGTGGATCAATTACGTGAATAACGGAACGAGAGTTCATAATAATAATTAATTATCGAGACGATTATTGTTTAATTAGTTTAGTAGAGACAAATGACAGACACCGACCCTTCGATTCTTTAATAGAATAATTATTGTTGCTCTATTAGAGGCACCCTTATTTGTATTCACGAGTGTTTGAAACTCGGATAGGGAATGAGAAGCGCGCGTAATTAAAAAATAGGTCACTTGTGGGCTTAATTCAGTCTTAATTGTACAACTATCGTAGTAAGGGCGATAGTACGAGCTAAGCCTGGTAACATCCCCCGGTCGGACGCGAAAGATAATCGCTCTCCCAACCCCCCATTTAATTCCCGACCGTAACACTCTTATTAGGTCGATTTTCTGATTCAACTAGACTTTTTGGAGTTTTGTTTACTTTCAATAATAAGCTTCAGGATCTCAGATCTCTTAATTTTTCAGTTATTCTTTCATTATCAAAAGTGCAACCATCTTTCTGAAAACTCTTCCATCCTGTCCTTGTCATCCTTCTTTTTCTCATTTAGGTATTAAAAGCACTATTAGGCTTTGTCTTCAGCACCAAGAACTTTTTCAAATGCTACGGTCGGATTGTCTGGGTTTGGGAGAGCGATTGATCTTTCGCGTAGGGGTGTTCTTCCGACCGGGGTTATTAGCTTCGTGCTGCCGCCCTTATTACGATAGTTGTTCGATTAAGACTGAATTCTAACCTACAAGTGACCTAATTAATCATTAAAGTGCGCGCTTCTTCACTCACTCCCTATCCGAGCTTCAAATCACTCATGATTCCAAATAAGGGTACCCACAATAAAATAACAACAACAATTATTTAATATTAAACAGGGCTATCTTCGGTTTTGTATTTTGACTAGTCAAATTCTGTCACTTGTCCCAAACTAATTAACAATATAACTATCGTTCCTCAACTAGATCAACGGATAATTTATACAGCTTAAGTGAGCCGCTCTTACAGCTTGAAAGAGCCGTTTATTAATATCCGATTAAATAATTGTGAGAGCTGATGCTGAAATCCGGCTGAAGCTAAAACTAACCAATGGGGTTAGAGAATAAAATCTGATCAACCAATGAAAGGTCATGGTTTCAGCTTCAGCCGGATTTCAGAATCAGCCGTGGCAATAATTAATATCGCAACAATGAAAGAAAGTAAAATTTCGATTTCAAAGGGATCATTTATTTGATACTTATTGGACAAAATTAAACAACATGAACAACATGAGAATTTGACGATGAGATAAGGACTGCTTATATATCTAGTGATTCCCAAAATGCGAAACAGAGGACGGAACGTCTGCTGCTCTGCGCTGAAATAATTCTGAAACCAGTAACGCGATATCGATCAAACTGCCGGACGAGTGCCGCGTTAACTAGTGGCGCTGGTACCGATGCCCAAAATACGGGTATTACCACTAATAAGGTGTGGTAGAAATTACCGTTTGTGTCTAACAGTGAGCGCTTCGATAACAAGCTGACTGTTGACCGGACGGGCTAAACTGGTCGTCGTCGTCGACTGGTGCATGTAATATCGGTCGCTTCTGGAATGTCTGCCCACAGCGGCTCGTACCAGCGCGCTATTGACAACAAGTCTGCTGGTAAGTTGACACCGCAGAGGGTCAGCACCCTCGAGACCTTCGAAAACTGTGCTTTCCGTTTTACCAACGACTTCCACTTTATTGGGTTTTCAGGATCAAAGCTCGTATCCCGAAGTTGGTCATCCATTGTATAACTCCCGAACCTTCTGTAAAGCGCTGCTGCTATATACTTTTCGACCATTGTTGTCGCTCTTGACCTCAACGTACTGCTTGCATGTTTAGATGAGTAAGAGTTCCTGATATTGCCGTTGATAGTTTGGGTGAGTATTTTAATGTCCTCTTGTAATTCGAGTGCTTCTGTATCAGCGACTGTTTTTTTTGGACCAAGAGAAATGTACGAATCCCCGAATAAGACTTCTCTCCTGGCTTTGTTTAATTCGAGGTATCTTTTATTTCCGAATGCTCTTAGACGCAGTTCATTATATCGTGATGCTCGGAAGTCGGTTATAACCCTTTCTAGAGTGTCAGTAATGGAATGTGATGTTTCGGGGTGGGTTGGTATCAAAGTCTGGTAAGGAGGGTAACGAGGGTAACGAGGGTAACGAGGTTTCAGATGGAGCTTTGGTATTAGACATCATAAGATATCTCTTGCAGTTTGTTATTGCTATTGGCCTCCAATACTGTTTGAAGATACAACTTTCGATAGTGAGCTTTGAAAGAGTTAATTATTCTGGTATTCGTTTATCTGCTGTTAATTTTAAGTTTCTGATAAAAATACTCGATTGGTAGGACTGCTCGTGCTTTTCTCTTGTACGCACGAGGAACATGGATAAATTTGGTGCGGCCTTTTTACTGTGAGAATAAAATCCTATTACTACTGTATTACCATTATAAACACCTGTGGGAGCTTAAAAATCCAGCTGAAGCTGAAACCATGATCTTTCATTGGTTGATCAGATTCTATTCTCTAACCCCATTGGTTAGTGACAATCTAATCCAGATCTGGATGCGAGTGAAGAAGAGGAGTCCGCAGATGAAATCGATAAATTCTTTATGGACAAGGAAAATATGAAAAGATTCGTAACGGTGTTACCAGCAACGATATTGGTAATATTGACTTCGTGGAACGTATAGAAGAATCCAAGTCAATGTCATCAACCTGTGGGTCCTCCGTAGTGATACAAACGTAGGAGATAAATTGGCAAGTTACATCAAGACGATTCCTGAGGCCCAAAAATGTTTGAAGTAGGCTTATTATGGATGTTTGATGATGATTCTTTCAATTATGGATTTTTTTTTAACTTATAGCCTCGCATATAGCAGGTTTGAAATTTCTTTGCTATATTGTTATACAGATTTTAATTATAAATCCGGGCGCTAAGCATATATGAATGAATCGGTTTCATGAAAAAGCTTCGTTATAAGGCCATATTCGTTAAAACAGACCTTCGTTATAAGGCCATATTCGTTAAAACAGACCTTCGTTAAAGCGGCCTTTACTGTGTATATGTACGTTTATTTATTCAGATATTCTTGTCTTCAATAAAATAAATAATTCCCGTCAATAAAATAACCCAAAAATTAGTGTCATTTCTATTTATACTAGCACACACGAGTACCGCCTCTTTCGAAAAGTTTTCCCGACACTATAATCTCGGAATACTTTTGCTTCGTTATTATTTTTATCAGCGCGCTAAGTCTACTCGACATATTGCCAACAGCAATAACAAGCGATCATGCCTCCTAACTACTGACAAAGCGGTTTAATCTTACTGAAAAACGTGGAGCCCTGACATAAACAATTTAGCCATTATGAAAATGTTAGATAAACAAGAATAGTGAAGTACGAAATAATAAAAGTGGAGAGTAAGAACTTGAACAGAGCCTTATTTGAATGGATAATAGATCGAAACGCTTGTGGATAAATATTTTATATGACCCTCATTGTCTTCTAGTCCAGCGATAAATTTATAGATTACTATTCTGTCGAAGTGTTGCATGGAACTTTATATAATATTTACTTATCCACAACAACTCTATTACAGATGGTAACGCCATTGACCAACATCAATCGTGGAGGACGTAAAGAAGGGGTTGGCTTTAAAAGAAGTGGCGATAGACATAAGTAGATTGGTGGATAAATAATCGCTTACTAACATACTTGTTTTTAAACTGGTTAACCAGGTGGCTGCTCTCTTTTGTCTCGACGGGTGGACGGGTGCGGGCAGCGGGCAGTTACCGTTGACGCTCTACTCGTTCACTATCACCCCTATGTTTGATCGGAGCATCATTGTGTTAAATACTCTATATAGGAATATACTGTACGACGTTAAAAGTGTGGGATAACAAATGCGAAATTTATGTGGGCTTCCCCTATGCATTATTGCATTATCGATATCGTACGCACCGCTTATTTATAAATAATCACTAGTTACGTTGAATACATCGACGATGCATGCGTTGTGCTCGCGCCGCTTTATTTGCTAACGAAATCCTCTCAGCCTGATTAACTAAGATTAAGTGTGGTATTTCTTGCAGAAATACTTGGTATAATCGTATAATCGTATCGATAATTGTTTTTTATAAAATAGATAACGAGATGCGATCTTCCTTAAATTTCTAATCTTAATAACTCGACAACCAAAGACTATGCATAATTGTACTTGTATCACGATTATCTGATACATCACCCAAGAATCAACATAGAATAGTGTAACTTGTCAGATGCATAATGAAATCACTGATATTAATTTATTGCATTTAAAAAATCTCATATAAACCAGCCGAAATTCCTTTAGTCCGATAAATACAATTGTATTTTTAAAAGTTTACAATTTGACTCGTAAATAATTTAACAATGAATGGACAATCTCTCAAACTCTCTTCGATCATTCTTTTCTACCTGCTAGCATTGCTAGCATCGACTATTATTGCTAAGGAAAACAGATGTTCAACCACAACAACCACCGTAACAATAACGACTGTTACATCCGCTTTGATCTGCCCACCCACACCTCTTGCTGTTATTCGTCGAGCAAGGAAATGTAATAATTGTAAATCAACTTCCACGGCGACGGTTACACAAACAGAATGCATCACAATAGCGCCTTTTTGAGTTCCTGACTGTGGGCGATGCAATCTTGTTCCTGCTGTAGTCAAACTTGTCTTTCGACTAGCGGCGGACTTGACGAAATATGCGGGACGTCTATGTTGGGTTTAGGGGTATATAAACTTTCTGATCCACTTCGAAACAATTGTCCGCGATAAGACATGTTTTGTTTGTTAGAAAGTCCCAATGTTGTATAATTGTTTTTTTTTTCTTTCGTTTTTTAGTAAGTAGAACGTTGTTTAGTTAAATTTTTACCTCTTGTTTTTTAGTAAAACGAAATGTCGAGTTGTTTTTTTCTTTTACAAAATGAATCTGTTTTGTTTTTGTTTTTGTTTTTTGTAAGACAAATCTAATTTATGTAGTATTTCTTAGCAGAAATACTCAGTATAAATTGCGAAATACCCAATAAATCATTGCGTCAATTTAATATTAATTATTCGAAACAATACTTGTTAAATTGTATTTATTAATCACAATATGCGTACTTCGGTGTATTAGTATGCAAAACTTCTGAATTTGCAATTTCAAAAAAAAAATTCGATTCCTATTATTAATATTAATTAATATTAATTATTCTAGACAACACTTATTAAACTGGTTAACTAGTATTCAATATTATTGAAGATATGACATTCTTTATAAGACCGATCCGATGTAACCAATCAAAGTGTACATTATTATGCTTATACTTTTTAATAATTATCAGTCGATTGATATGTTCTTTGTTTACATTATCGGTGTATCACATATTCAGTATTCTGATGGGTCAGAATAGACATATTGGATGCACCAAACACTTGGAGTATAGTAATAAATCATGACAAGGAATCCTGGAAATTAAGAGTCTTTGTTTTTTTCACATCCTATGTAAACGGGTCAAGCAACGGTTTACTTGGTAATTTAATAAGCTAGCACCAACTGTAGCGTTTGATCAGTCACAATTTCGGGTGTTATCCGTTTGGGTGAATAGATACTTATATAATGTAATTATAAATGAAAGGACTACAACCCAGCTATATGGTTACCAGCTTTAATTGCATACCTCAAAAATGCTTTCAAGATTATTTCCTTGACCCCCCCCCAAGCATAGCAATTTTGAGGCCTGATTTTGTAAAAGACTCAGGTACTATTTTCGAAAAATTCAACATTGTTAATTGTCGAGTAAAATACCCAGGTATTATAAACGAATAATCCCATTGTAATAGTAAATTATCCATATAACAGTATATTACTCATGCAAAAATCGATATACAAAATATCCAACATATGAATACTAATTATTAAACTGTCTTGATTTCAAATTTCACTTGTGTTTTGCCTTATTCGTCCATTGCAGACCAAAAACTCGGTTCTGCATCGTCGTAATAATTCCATATGAATTCCTCGGGAGGAATATAGTCTGATATGTAGATTCCTTGGGATTCCATCTCGTCTACATATCTTATCAACAACTGCTCCGCCTCGTCTCTGAGACCCAACCAACATACATTCTTGAATATCTTATGAAGCATAAAAGAGGATAACACAAAACAGATAGCGAATGGGGTTAAACGAGAGAACAGTATGCAGTAGTGCTAATACCAGTTTTTGTCCACATATAGTCTTCCTTACCTTCCAGACGCTCCAGGGCTGTATACTCGCGATCCAATTTTCATCATCTCCTCCAATTACCCAGTTCATCAAATTTTCGATGCTTTCTATGTCGGGTACAGGAAGAGTCACCCGAGTAAAGTACTGTCCTTTGTCTGGACGATAAAATGATCCTACAGAGGCGTAGTGGAAAATTCTCTGCAAAAGGTCTGATTTATACGCAGTATTATGAGAGTGAATAAGGATTTCTATAGAAGCAGAAGAAACTTTGTGATATGGTTGGATAAGGTCAGGAATAGATAGTGTCGGAGAAGAGGGTGCAGATGTGGATGGTGTAGTTGTTAAGGATGACGACGACGAAGATGGTGATGAATACTGGGTAACAAGTGGAACTGCAGCAGCCAGATCTATGTCGATATATGTTATGCTGCTAATGTCGATCCATTCCTCAATCTGCTGTTCGTCTCCAATTTTAATATCCATATCTACTTTAACATCGTCATCATATCCTTGAAGTCTATTCCACTCTTCAAATGTAATGAATTTTGCTATAACACATTCCTCACACACACTTTGTCCAAAGGTCAATATAAGTTTTTTCAATTGCATGAATATTGATAGTTTAATTTCCGTCGGAAAGTCTACTTCTGCTATCTCTCCGGCAGTATAATAAGGATAAGTTGGCTGACGCAGAATGGGAAAAAATGACGGAATATCTGACGAGACCACAACGTCTGTTGGTGGTAACAAGTCTGAATGTTTTGGCGATACCTCTAACAGTGTCTCTATATTGAGTAAGTTCGGTTTAGAACAGTGTGATTTAGATTGCGCATTGGAATTTAAACGGCATCCATTTCGCTTATGAAAATATCCTTGCTTGTTCTCTCGGATGACGAAAACACAGTCTTGTTCCTTTCTTTCTTACCTGTAACATCTACCGTCGATTGTTTGTGATTTTCTTCGGCTTTACGAGGCATTTTTTTCTCTCGATGCAGCTATGTAAACAGGAGGAACGATACAAAGTTGGAGAAACAACAAAAGAGAATACAAAGCGACATATATGTATATATTTCCAGACCAATGATAGTGTTGATACAATAGATCAAAGACTACTAAACGCCACATCAGTATTTAGAGTTTGATAACCAGTTTGATCTCGCTTTCCTTTTCTCTCACATAATGTCACAGGAATACAAAGAATGAATTACGAGGGGATGTAGTTGCATACTAGTGCGCGACACCAGAAATCGTTTCGCTGCTTTTAACAATGAGGTTTTTTCAAAATATTTGTCTCACATTGAACATTCGTCATGATATTAGAGTTTCAAACATTCCCTATTAAATAAATTACAATCGACACGTGAAATCTGAACTATTTTATTTTGAGATAGATCGACGGAAAATCATCCCGAATTGTTCAACAAATATTAAGATAAACATTCACATGACTTGCTTTATTTGGTAATAAGATACGAATTCTTGAGCTCTCCTGATCGCATCTGTGTTTTTATTCGCTGCTTTTGGTAAATTTGTACATTGTTTTAATTCTCGAAAATGATGTTATTAACTATTTACATTTTGCTTCTAGTACTAGTACTAGTAGGCTTCAGAGGACGGAAATCATCCACATTTTCCTATTATTGTTTTTTTTAAAAAGATTCATTAGCATCACGCCATTGTACGTAAACAACGCAACAGCTAATTAAACTGAGCAATACAAACCTTGAAATACCAAACGGCACGCACGGGTGGTTTCCCCGTAATACGAAGTACATCACCAGTAATATAGTCAGATTTTCCGGCTCTGGTATAGTCAAAGTGATCGCATCTGCAGAAAAGAAGAAGAAGAGCAAATAAATTTATATGCAAAGTATATAAAACTTACGCCAACCCTCCCAATTCACATTGAATACTCACATAGAGTCAATACAAACTTCGTTCGGTGGTGGAGGTGGGGGATAATTGCGCTCTTTCCTACCCTCAGGATACATATTGTTGCGGTCTCTCTTTCCTCCCAATGATCTCAAATATCGCTCGACTTGTTCTCTAGAGGTCTCCATAAAGCGAACGAACCAACGGTGATCGATAGCCTCGCTGATAATGTCGGCAAGAATGAAACCATCTATGGCCTCGGGTCCGGTAAGAGTGTAAATCTTGTGACGGTGTTTTGCGTCTATGTCACGTGGAACATCTCCGCGGAAAGCAATCTCGCGAAAAGAGTCCATGACGTCGTCTAGATGAATTGGAGAAAAGCGCGAGTCTGGATGGATCGAAAAGCTCAACATGGAATGTTCTTGGACAGATTTCTTCCAATAGTAGAAAAGTTGTTGGATGAAAGCAAGACTATGGGACGAAATATAAATATAATTTGAGGTTATATAATGATGCGGGGGGTGGAAGGAATGAACAGTTGTATAAAGTCATTTTGAAAAATTTCTTTTGTACCGTAAGATTACCCAGTCGTCAGTGCAATTCTTGACGGCGTTTTCGATGTGCTCATAGTCTGTAAATGTTGGACAGTCGGAATCAATAGTTCCAAGAGTACTCATCAAGGCGACATTGTTGACTTCTGCATGCTTGATGGCCTAATAGACATGAACACGTAAATACGATTGATTAGCTTATCCTTACACCATTTACTCCCCGGGGAAAATTCCAGTCTACTTACATCGCATAACGCCTCCGCCTTGTCAACTCGATCATGTTCCTTTTCGACCACAAAAACAATCCATTTCGAATATCTGACTCCAACATCGAGAGTTCCACGGTCGTCATAATCAATCTCGCAAACTTCGGCACCCTTTCTGCGCAGTCTCTCGCACTTGTCTTTATCACGACATAAGGCACGGACTTTGAAACGACGATTGTGACAGCCAAGTAACGTATCGGCGATGCAATATCCGAGCCATTCGTCGGCGGCTGTAATGGTGATGATCTCCTGATCTCTGGAATGCACTCTTGAGAGCATAGACATGATGGTTTGAGTTACGAGAATCGTGGTTGCTTTTGTGTTGTTTGGGTATCCTCACAAACGGATAAAGGTCATGACTACTTGGTGCGTGTATTTATAAATCATGTTCCGTGGGAAAGAGGGTAATTCGATCGATTGGAGACAAAAAAAATACCGGCTCTTTGAGCAAGTTTCGTTTCCTCTGGGAATAAAAGAATTGGGCATAATTAAAAGTTTATGATACTCCACAATTGATGAAATGTTGTTCATATGGCGGTGGGATGGCATATCAAAGAAAAGATCTAATCATTGATTTGAGAAAGATCTTTCTCTTCTTTAGTTTAGCGTTAAATACTCGATCAGCATCAAGGAACGGGCTAGAGTCTTTTGTGTGGCAAGTCTCACGATCTTGAATTGTTCTCACAGTTTACCAAATTCACGCTAACTCTCCAAAAAATCAATCTCTCACACGCTCGATATCGTAAGCATGTTCCCAGCACGCGCTTTACGCACTCTAATCTTTTTCCCCCACACAACCTCTGTGGTGATTTTCGTCGATATATAGTAAATGTCTAATTTTGTTACTGCGATAAACAATTTCCATAGTCTATCAACTTACATAGCCTGTTTAAAGTTGCAATCCCATATTTAACTTTTTGGGAATTCAAAAATCGCACCTTTACCTATTAAGGGAAATAAGAGATTTCCAGTTCTTATCCATTTCCGTTATATTATTTTGAAGGTGACATTGACAGAGAAGTAGCGTATGATACAAGGAGAACACAAATAAATATTCAAGAGAATGCTGTTATACAACGATGGTGGCTTTACATCTTATTAACAGATTAAAAAGTGAATGGCTTTATTTTGCATGGTTCTATTAAATGTTTTGTTCAACGTTATTATTATGTAGCATTTATATACAGTATGTTAATTTATCATCTTTGTGAATTTTCGCAGTGTATAACCATAAACAGCATGATCAACTCGATCTAATTGGCCAATCTCATGTGAGCATCAAAGATCAGTGAACACAACTAGGTGGGGGTATGACAATTTTTCCTTTAGTCCTTTCAGTCCGGCTTGAGCTTCTTAGATAGGGAATTATGGCCTCCGAACAACAAGAGACACCACTCTCGGAGGAGGTAATGCCCCCAGAGGAGGCTTCTCCTACCGCCAAAATAGTCGAAATCACAGACACGGACGAGCCGGCTCTTGCCAACGAAGACGAAGACGTAGAGAGCAAAGGAAGTGTCAGCATGACAGCTGCCGAGAGGCAGCGTGAGAAACAGAAAAAGCGGGAGGCTAAAAGACTGATGAAAAAGACGAAGAAAAAGGCAGAGAAGGCGGGCACTAGCGCTGCGCCTGTTGTAGGCGAGGAGGAATTAGCCAAAAAGAAAGTCCAGGAAGCTATGGAATGGCAAGAAAAGTTTAAGCAAATGATTAATAGGCTTGCTATGCAAGAAGCCCTAAATTCGTCTGGGAGTCTAACCAGTAAAAGTAAAGAGAGTAAAACGCACAAGTTTTGGGATACGCAGCCTGTACCGCGTCTTGGTAAGTATTCCATTAGAATGGATGAGCGAGTTTTGGTGGTTTCTTTTTTTTTCCCCCTCCCTCTTCGATTAGAGGCGTGGTTATTATACATGTCTGTGCAACGATTGTGGGAATGTCGAGTCAGTATGTCGTCAGTGCGTGTGAGGATTGAATTCATTGCGATTGATGATTTTAATAGATGAAGAAATTGATGAAGATGGTCCAATTGAAGAAAATACACCCCACGATCAAATACGGAAAGACCCTTATCCGCTTCCCAAGGAATTCGAATGGTGTACGATTGATCTTAACAACGAGTCTGAGGTATATACTTTACTGAGAATGTATGTTTATTGATATTCTACACGAACATACATTCTCCAATCTTTTTCTCTCGTTATACGTTATTTGTTGTTTTAATTCTTGCCATTGAAAGAAACAATGTTTTATTCTCTTATAGCTAAGTGAGCTCTACACCCTCTTGACAAATAACTATGTCGAAGACGAAGATGCAATGTTCCGATTTGATTATTCGGCAAAGTTTCTAAAATGGTGAGTGAAAACGGGTTTCACGGAATCAGATTAGATTAGATGAAATGACCAAAATAAGACTCTCCGAACTTGTCAGATTAGATTAGATGAAACGACCCAAAGTAGGATTCTTCAAACTTATCAGATTAGATGAAATCAGCAAAAGGCCTTTATTCTTTCTCTCTTTAATGTCGCCGTTGTTTGTTTATTTGTTTATTGTATATCTTATGCGACATATGTGGTTGATGTGAGATTATAATGTCCGTCCGAACTTGCTTTAGTATTCTAACGCACGCTAACTTAATATCAGGGCATTGCAACCGCCAGGTTACAAAAAATTGTGGCATTGTGGTGTTCGTGTAACATCAAACAAAAAGCTCGTGGCATTCATCAGCGGAACTCCAGCAGACATTCGCATATACAAATCGTACGTGTTTATCACTTTTCATCAATATGTTTGTCGTGAATGCGAAAAGAATGCTAACGTTATCAAATATTTTATTACCGGTTTAAATAGAAAGCAACATCTGGTCGAGATAAACTTCCTTTGCGTTCATAAGAAGTTACGAAGCAAGCGATTGTCACCAGTGCTGATCAAAGAGATTACTCGTCGAAGCCATGTCCAGGGAATCTTTCAAGCTGTTTATACGGCCGGTATTGTACTGCCCAAACCTATTTGTAGTGCACGGTAAGAGTGATGATATTGACAGAGGACAGACAGATGACCGGCCTGTTTATTAATTGGTCGGTTGGTCGGTTGGTCGGTGTTTATGTCAAGCTATTAATATTCATTACGTTTCTCAATATTCGCGTCCTTTTCCCAATATTTACGTCATTATCGCTATTTTACTTGTAGTTATTTTCACCGTAATTTGAATCCAAAGAAACTTATCGAAACCAACTTTTCCCGTCTTCCTCCGAACATGACTATGTCGCGTGTCATCAAGAAATTTAAACTCCCAGCTGAAACGGCTACACCCGGGTTGCGGCCAATGAAATCAAAAGATGCTCCTGCAATTAGGAAATTGCTTAATGAATATATGGACAAATTTAACTTTGTTCCAGTCTTCAAGTCGGATGAAGAAGTTAGACATTGGCTTTTACCAAAAGAAGGCGTCATTTGGTCATACGTCGTTGAGGTTCGTATGGTTATGTTGCACGTGTATACGAATGTGACTGTAATTGTAAAGGGAATGCTATGTTTTTGCTTTTTTTATTACACCGTTCTAATATTATTATTATAACGATTGGTTAGGATCCTGCTACGAAAACATTGACAGACTTTTTTTCTTATTACTTTTTGCCGTCATCGGTAATCGGTCATGCAGTACATAAAACCATTAATGCTGTATACCTGTACTATTACGCAATAAAGGAGACTGAAGAGAAGGCTGTCAAAGGACGACTCCAAGCGCTTATCAAGGATGCCTTGATTTTGGCAAAACAGGTATATAATTTGACCAGTACGATCAACTTATTGCTTATGGCTCATTCCCAATGGTTTGTCTCATCAAATCTTTTCTCTTGTCTGTAGGAAAATATCGATGTGTTCAATTGCTTAGATATCATGGAAAATAATCTGTTTATCGAACCTTTGAAATTTGGTGCAGGAGATGGCACGTTAAATTATTATATGTATAATTGGAAATGCAAAGATATGGATAGCAGTAAATTGGGTATTGTCATGTTGTGATAGTGCAGGATGAAGAAAATATTTAAATGTACCAAAGCGAGTGAATAGCCAGATGAATCAATATTTTGTGTGTAAATGTATCGAAAGCTACTTGTAAATTTGAGTAAATGTGAAATCTATACAACTTGTACTTAGGCACGTAAAATAACAAAGCTTTGAATTTAGAAAGTATTTAAGAAGTTTATTGATCAATTCAATTTGGAATAAAAGATTAAAAAAAGGAAAAAAGAAAGAGTGTTTCGACGTCAGCAATATCTTCCCGCTTTATCCTACCACCATTGTGGATGACGGGGGAAGCGGACGATACTCGATTTATCGCTTCGTAACTAACCTAATGCAGACTAACAAAGGATTTAGTGTCATGTAAGTTTTCCCCAATTCATCAACAGTAAGAGCGCTTGAGGAAACACACTAGTTTCATATTTATAACAAACTTGTTTAGAAATTATTCCGCAGAGTTGACGTTTACGCGTGCATTAATATTTGGTGAGAATAAGCTTGTTGACAATCACACCTTTTTGTTGACATTGGAGGGTATAATAATAGATATCATTATCAAAATATTCTCTTCATCGAGCGCTTAAACATTGGTGGCGTTAGATCTAAATAATGTCTATAGAAACACCTTTACTATATTTTTACACCATGAGTAAATGTGCATAGCAAAGGCAATTGGACGCCACAGATTAAGCGTCAAACTTACGTGTATGCGGTTGCTTTCATGGATAATTAAGTCGTCACACAAAGAGTGCTGTTACAAATCAACCACTAACTAAGCTTCGCAACTGTTCACTCACAAATCACGAATGCGTAGATTCCTGTTACCATTTTGGAGATAAAGATTGTATCATTGGTAATGAAGACGATATTATTAAATATGTAATAGTGACTTTATTTTCTTACAACTTGTACATCAATGATGGATTTAAAAGATGATGAAAAAATAGGTTTGGTGCAGTTCGAAAGTTATCAAGCAAAATATTGAAATACCTACATTCTATAGTGATAGATATACGGCGGAGTTTTATCAAGAGGATTATGGTTTAATATTAAGTGGTTTAAGCGGTGCTATATATGCAACTTTGATTGGATCGGTTCTTATAAAGAATTAATTTTTTTTATTCGTTTGTTTTTTATTTTATTAGCAGAAATACTCGGTATAAATCGTGAAATACTCAACAAATAACGTATTAGTATTATCATTGCGTCAATTCGAATTACAATGGAGTTGTATTGTTGAACTTGTTAAATTGTAATTATTTGAGTTTGCAATTTCAAAAAAAGTTTTTGACGAAAAACAAAATCTTCGATTCCTATTATTAATGCTAATTGTTCTTATTAAACTGTTTAACTAGTATTTAATATTGATAGATTTGTCTTATTAAAAACAGATTTCATTTTGCTAAAGAACAAAAAACAACTCGACGTTTTGTTTTACTAAAAAAAAATTTTTTAACTAAACAGCGTTCTATTTATTAAAAAATGAAAAGAAAAAAAAACCAACTAAACAACATTGGATTTTCTAACATGTCTTATCACGGACAATTGTGGATCAGAAGTTTATATACTCCTAAATACAATTAGATATAGGCTGCCCGCATGTTCCGCCAAGGCCGCCGCTAATCGAAAACAAATTTGACTACAGCAAGCGCCTGGGTTATTAAGATTGCATTGCCCACAATCAGAAACGCAAACAGGCGCTGGTGTGACATACAGTTGTTGCAAGCGTACAAGTAGCAGTTTTTTTACAAGGACGGGGGCGAGGGGGGTCATTATCACATTTAACAGAAGTGGGAGTGGCTGTGCAGGTCGAAGAGGTTGTAGTAATAGGTGTTGCTATGGTGGTTGTTCTGGTTGAACATTTGTTTGCCTCAACAATGCTAGCAGGTAGAAAAGAATGATCGAAGAGAGTTTAAGAGATTGTCTATATTGTTAAATTATTTACGAGTCACTTTTAAAAATACGATTGTATTTATCGAGTGGGTTATATGAGATTAATATCCGTTGATTTCATTATGCATCTGACAAGTTACACTATTCTACTGTATGTTGTGGCAGATAACGTGATACAAATACATTTATGTGGCTGTCGAGTTATTAAGATTAGAAATTTAAGATCGCTTCTCAACCTCTCATATCGTGATGAGGTTTGGATTGATCGTTATCTATTTTATAAAAAACAATTATTGAATACAACCACTATACGATTATACAAGTATTTCTGTAAGAAATACCACCGTTAAAGGATTTCGTGTAGCAAACAAAGCGGCGTATGATCGTCGATGTATCCAACGTAACTATATAAATAAGTGGGGCGTACGAGATAGTAATAGTGTAGTGCACATAAATTTTCGCAAGCTTGTTTTTTGCCGATCAAACATATACATAGTAATTATAATGAGCTTGCATCATTTGCGATCATTTTTACAATAGTAAAACATATAAACTTTAAACTAAGGCTTTGAGGAAGAAAACTGCGGCGCAAAACTTTTACGAAAAACCAGTTTTAAAAAATTTCTAATAAGCGAACTAACAATAATACGAAAAAACGACCCCATTAGTTTATTGATAAATGAATCAAGCATATCTGGTTTCAATTTCATGGACATACCTGTTCTCTATCAGAAGGTGTTTGAATTTGAAACTATCGTACAGTGACAACATTTTGCTCGGTCTCCGTTTTCTGCAAGTGTAACGATTTCCAGTACATTTATTTCCCTAAGTGCAACTTACGTGATTCACCTAAAGTTATTTGTTGCGGAAAAATGACACAAAATTGTTTCATATACAATATCAAGTTTCAAACATCACAAGTCGCGCACAACACTATATCCATCGCGAGGTTGAATTTTCCTGACGCAATGACAACAAACAAGTATTTGTCTTTTGAGAGAAAGATATCGTTTTTGAGCTTTCTGAAAGTGGCAATATTATTTCTTTATTTAGTAGAGAACACGATTAATATGCTGACAATAATAGCAATAGTGAGTGCTAATGAGGCATTAAAAGATAAGACGTTTCTAACTCAACAAGAGAGAGCCAGCAGATAAATTCAATAAAACAAAGTAATAGTAGCATAACACAATTCTTAGTTAAGAAAGGAAAATTTGTTTAATAGACGCAAATCAGTAAAATTTCTTTCCTATTAATAAATGCAAAACCCCCCATAAATGCAACATAGCCAAGGCGTTGCATTTGTGGAGGTATTACTGTATTCGTTTTATGATGTTGAATGAAATATAAACGCGTAATAGTAATGCTTATATTGTGGGTTTTAAACCAGTATTGGATCTTGCGGCCAAGGTAACATATTATTTTACTTGGCTTTTGAATATCTTCTAATAACATCATTTGAACCAAATTTTATGGCACACGGTGAAATTCACTTTAACTTTAACGAAGATCGCTTTATACCGAAGTTCTTTCCAGAACGGATTCATATATTTCATATAAAAAGACAGTTCACTTAAGCAAACTTTCAGGTTAACGATGCAAAATCGTGGAACGATAAAGTGAATTTCACTGTGTATAACTCTTGGCACCTTATACTAGATAAGGTAATAAGACTGTTAATACGGCCGAAATTTCATCGTTTTATCAAATAAAGTAATATTACATATATAAAACATTCCATAAAAGGAATATATGACCGTTTTATATGATTAGGAATATGCCACTTGTCCCATGGATATTCTCGTGGCATTACGGTTGTTATTCGCTTTAAATGGAAACACGTTTTAGATAGATACAAGTATGCCCAACCTATTACTATTACTACAGTACTATAGCTTCCACTCGATTAACTCGAAGGCGAGTCACTGTCATTGTATCACAGCTCCGTCTGGAAACAGCTAAATCTCTTTCACAATTGTTGACTCGACAACATACAACAAGGTTGTATTGAGCACTAAAATAACCTCGTTCAGCTGCTTTTTGAAACAACTCAAGTGCTCTTTTTTTCTACTCTAATTCCATCATCATAGCATAGAGCAAGGTGAAAACCGACCCTTTTTTGAATCACTATAACATGCAAACCAAAGATTTTCTGAAATCCAACATATTAATCCATAGTAATAGTTGTAAACGTAAAATTAATTCTAAGCCAATAATATTGTAAACCCGAATACATGATGCGTTTTCGACCCGTTATATTTGTTCTACATGCTTTTGTATTTATGAAAATATACGAGATGCAGATCAACCAATATTTGGCATCAAAAGCGTCAGCGAAAAGTCATAGAAAATGAAATAATTGCTTTGGTACTTGTGAAGAAGTTTGGAAGAATGTAAGAAAGAATGCGAATGCCGTGGAATCAATTGACAAAGCAAAAGATTATTTCATCAGTTAGCCTGAATACAAACGCAGATCTTTCAAGTCACTCTCACTTTAATGTAAATAGTAAGCGTACTTCTTTTGTTGCATCGTATCGTAAGAAGTAAAGTTACTAAATAAATCATTATTCTGATGACGCAATACATTCTCATTTGTCGCACCCATAGCATGACATTTCCCAGGGTCGGACAGTATTACGTAATGTTAATTCACGCGACACACACACAAAAGACGCGACGAGAATGTTGTCCAACATCTAAATATAAAAGTACTCTACTAGAAACCGTGAAGAATTTATTCTTTCCCAATGTCTGATCATAGTCAACCCACCAGCCCCGTGCACTCACCCAGTTCAACAGGCTCGCCCCGAGCAGCTGTTGAAATACTCGAGCCACCCTCTTCCGGCTTTGCTATTACCGAGACTTTGCGTAATCTAGGCACGACCGTTCGGAGTGTTATCTCCAACTTTGGCCAAACGTCAGCGTCGGTTGGCAGTGCAATGGAGGTTGAGGCCGAGGATATGGAAATGGACGCGAACGACGTTGTCAGCGCTGGACCAGCCTCACCAAACTCGCCTTCGTTTGGGTCGGTGGCTTCGCTATCTGGTGATGGAGGGAGGAGCGAGGGCTTCTTGTCGCCAAGAAGTGATTTTACGTCGAGAACTCTTGCAAGTACGTTTAAGCATGTATAGAACGTGAGATTTAATGTAATAATTGATGTATCTAGAGTACAATCACAACATGCTGACGACTTTATCGTGTGTTATTCTTAATATAGGTCATTCACCAATATTGGCTGCAACGTCCCGTCGGCAGCTCGATATTTCTCAGTTTGGCACAAGTCGGAAGGGTGGCATTGATCATGATGACATAACTCTTGCTGGTCAGGCCTTTTCTCCGCGTCGGCGTGGCGACGTTCAACCTTCTCAGTCCATAGATATTGCTCGTCTATTGGACAGTGACGTGCGCCTTCGCGATTCTGGTGATAGGCCCAGAGCTATTCGTGATCCAGCTGGGGCAATATCTTATATAGCTGGCAGTTCTATTAGTCTACTCGAGGTTAAAGTGGCATTTAAAGACTATTTGGAGAATTTCAGAATGCAGATGAGGAAAGAGAAAGAAGGGAAAGAAGTCAACGAAGAAGATCTAGAACCTTTCTATCCAAGATACCTACAGAAGGTTAGTTGATTTTTATCATTTTAGTGTTTAGTCTATTGTGCATATATATCCGTATTTGTATTTAATTTTGTAAGTAACAACCATTATAAAAAATATTTTTGACTTATTCTATCTTGTCTCTGATTATATATTGCAGAATATGGAGATGGGTGATAACAGATTCAACCTTGATCTTCAGAACCTGCTTGCATACCCTCCTACTGTTAAATTGTATCATCATTTAATCAAGTATCCTCACGAAATATTGACTACGCTGGATGATGTTGTTACCGAAGTATATGCAATTCAATTCAATAAAAATTTAATTGAATGTGATATTAAAGTGAGTAAGGTTTAGTAACATTGTTTTTGATATTGCTCGATTGGTTATTAACCGTTCTATCGTTCACAGGTTAGACCGTTTAATATTGGCAAATCGACAAACATGAGAGATTTGAATCCTTCTGGTATATACAACAAACACACCTGATTATCGGCTGTTGGCCGCGTTTCTACGAAAATCGACTATTGACCTTGGACTTGTTCATTACGTAGATGTCGACCATCTTGTATCAATTAAAGGACTGCTTATTAGGGTATCACCAGTAATTCCTGAAATGACGATAGGTGATCAGATTGATAGCCAACAAATCCGGTATCCGTTCAATCTACGTATTAACAATTCAATATTTAATATTCTGACATAGGTTATTTTAAATGTCGTGCATGTGATAAGGTTGTCACAGTTGACGTTGAGCGTGGTCAGATATCTGAACCACAACGATGCCCACGTGCAATATGTAATTCGGCGAATACTATGGCATTAATACATAACAATTGCGAGTTCAATGACAAACAAATATGCCGACTGCAAGAGACCCCCGGTATTTATCGTTAATTCTACACGTTTGTTTGCGCGACGCGGATGTGCAGCTATTAATCACGCGTTTATATACCAGATTCCATACCGGATGGGCAGACACCGCACACAGTCACATTGTGTATGTATGATGATCTTGTTGACATTGCTAGACCCGGAGACAAGTAAGTCAAAGTGGATTGTGTGTTGATCTGCAACTTATAAATTAATCAATAGACCAGCAGTCGAAATGACAATGACTTACAATGATAATGACCCGTATAATCAATGCATCCCAATAGACTCGAAATTACTGGTGTCTTCCGATCAACACCGATGAGAGTCAATCCGCGTCATAGAAACGTCAAGTCGTTATTCAAGACATTTATCGACGTGGTACATATTCGCAAATCGGATAAACGTAGAATTGCCGCCGATAGGGAATCTCTTGAAAACGATCCGGATATGACGTATGTATATTCAGCATATTGAATCATCTGCTAATCTGTAATGGCGACAACCACTAAAAACGCAATATACACAGTTACGACGAAAGCGATGAAATACGTACTGATGCCGAGGGAGATGAGGCTCGACTAATCGAGTTGTCCCGTCGATCTGATTTGTATGAACTGTTGTCACGGTCATTGGGTGAGTATTAATAATGGATAAACCAAATATCATATCTACCGCCAATAACCTATTATCGATTACATTGACATATAGCTCCTAGTATCTATGAATTGGATGATGTGAAGAAGGGCATATTATTACAATTGTTTGGTGGGAACAATAAAGTATTTAAAAGAACGGCGGCACCACGCTATAGAGGTGATATTAATATATTATTGGTGGGCGACCCTGGAACGAGTAAATCACAGATTTTGCAGGTATGTTCTCATTGTAACTGCTAGACCTTGCATAAATCACGCAAATTTACTAACTTGTATGATAGTATGTGCATAAAATTGCATCACGTGGTGTATATACATCTGGTAAAGGTTCTTCAGCTGTGGGATTAACAGCATATGTTTCACGTGATCCTGATACGAGACAACTGGTATTAGAAAGGTATCTTTTTCACACAAATCTTGACCTGTTGTCGAACGCAAAATTCTTGTACTCATCAAGTATCATATCAGTGGTGCGTTGGTGCTCAGCGATGGCGGTGTCTGTTGTATTGATGAATTCGATAAAATGTCTGAATCAACTAGATCGGTACTTCATGAGGTCATGGTACGTAAAGCCGGTCGACTTGATCCACGTGCCATTATAATTTAAAAACATGAGCGTCATTATATTTAAACATAGGAACAACAAACAGTGTCCGTTGCTAAAGCTGGTATAATCACGACTCTGAATGCCCGAACGTCAATACTTGCATCGGCCAATCCGATACACTCAAAATATAACCCAAAACTATCTATCGTTGAAAATATTCAATTGCCACCCACACTCATGTCGAGGTAATTTGTGCATATTATTCTAACTTGCTATACAATTTAAGCATTCGCATATTTGTCAACTGATTTTTGGTATAATATAACAATAGATTTGATCTTATTTACTTGGTTCTCGACAAAGTGGATGAACATTCGGATAAGCAACTTGCAAAGCACATAGTGTCCCTATATGTTGAGGACTCACCGCAGACGGATGAAAACAGATTTGTGGTATGTTCTTGTCCAAAGCACACTTGCATACGATATGATGATTCTCTATATTAAGTACACGCGTTTGATTTCCTTTTTATTGATATATAGCCTATTGAGACATTGACAAAGTACATAGCATATGCTCGCAAACACTGCAAACCAAAACTACACGTTGACAATAATGAAGCCTATCAAGCGCTCGTTGACGCGTATATTTCAATGAGAAAACTAGGAGAAAATCCGCGCACGAGCGAAAAGATTATCACAGCGACGACAAGACAGCTCGAATCTATGATCCGACTATCAGAGGCACACGCACGGATGAAGTACGTTATCATTTATTAGGAAACTATTATACTATTAGCGTAGTATATTGATTTTTGCGGCAGTTGATCGAACCAGCACATTAACCAACTATACTTTTTTCAAAGACTGGCAGAATATGTCGAATTGGAAGATGTCCAGGAGGCCGCGCGATTACTACGCGAAGCTATCAAACAATACGCATGGGATCCGGAGACAGGCAAGATAGACATGGATCTGATAAACACTGGACAAGGTACTCACGAAAGACGCATACTGGAAGACATAGGAAATGCTTTACAAGAACTACTCAGGAAGAAAGGTGGAGCACGCACGTCGTGGAGAACTCTATTACTCGAATTAAACGAACAATCTGATTTGGTACGTTCTTTTATACTTGGCCACAATAAAAGTGACATTTAAATTAATCTGATTTTGTTCATGGTTATAGGAAATCACTGAGAGACAGTTCGAAACTGCCGCGAGAACTTTAGAGCAACAAGGTGTTCTTAGAATTACGGGCAATGGAGCTGAGCGCACTATAAGTATATAGAAGCTCTGTACTGTACTGTTCTTTTTTTCTAAATGATGCTGTACTAAATAAAATATGACTATATAAGTGCTGTTCTGTACTATCGCTGTTATGTCTATCATTTCCTCAATGAGAAAAATTCTAATCGCGCTTCCCATTCCTGACACGTCCTTTCACCTTTCATCTCAATGGATGCTAATACCAACATTACAACAACTATAACTCTTTATCTTGGGTAGAGACAGCATTTTCTTTAAACTGAGTGTAGCATATCTTAAGTTAAGTGAACTGTTAATAATGTATAGATGAGACCTCACCTGGCTATCTTTGGGCGTAAATTAATTATTGATCAAGTTAATCACTATGTTGAATTCAACGAGTATCCGGAAAAGCCAGAAAAGCTTTTGCCTTAAAAAACATACAGTACTCGATTGGTGATCCAGGTAACAAAAAGTTGTTATTTTCTAACTGTCAATTCTTAGGTGTTGATACCACAAAGGAATATCGAACTTGTCAAGGAGTTAAAACATGTGAATACGCATCACAAGAACTTCACACGCCGCACACTGAAGTTGATTTTGAAGGTCAACTTTTTAAGCGTCTCTTTGACGCACGCACATGAATATTCTATTAGTAAGCAAACCCTTGGGTATGTTGGCAGGGTGCTGGTATATTTTATCTCACCAAGTCGTTACCTGTACAAGTGCTTGCTAGTGCATCTTGCAGTTTCCCATCAACAGATTCTCCTTCACTTTCAGTTCAGCCCGCTCAAAGAGTATGTATATGCATGATTAATATAATTCAAGCCAAAATGTTCTTCATTGGAGTATGAAGTATTGTTAGGCAGGAAGGGTTCAAAAATGATTTTGCGAAATAGGGGTAAATTAGTTACTGAATACTTTTTCAGAAGTTCGGTAATTGGTTTAGCGATTTTGGCATACGCTTCAAGTTGGTAGAAAGTATTTCTTTCCATTCGTCATTTCGAAATAAAGTCCGTGTTTTCTTATCGACGTCGTTAATAACAAAAGAATGCAGACAAGATTCATGCCTTAAGGTGCGTGCATATTCATAAATGACTTTCTCTACGATACGACCAGATGATTCCAGTGTCCACATTTGTGTCGGGTCTAGACTCTGATAGATAAGGTCAAAACTGGTAAATCCATTGACTTCTTGTTCATCTCCGTTTCCATGTTGTAGAACGTTTTGTCTTTGTTCGATCGAATTCTTGTTTGTATAAGAGAAGAATATTGCAAAGTAATTTTTATAGACAAATATAATTGGCTGAAATATGCGGTTTATCGGGGTCAATATTCGGTTTACAAAGGTCGACAATATAAAGTGAACATTAAAATTAACAAGTCCATAAGTTATGAATGAGCACTATTATTACTTTTCAAAACATCATCAGTCACACTGATCAATTTTACAGCCACATCATAATCAGCCTCTCATTTATAAAATGTTCACTTTGTCTGGTTTTGTTGCAGTCTGCCCCATATATCGTATTCTGAAATAGTACAAATGTCAGTTGAAGTTAAAAAGTTTTGGTCAGGGTGGTGTCAGCAATTTGGTGGGTCCAACCAAGACTTGATGTCACTCTTGTTGTTTTAATACACTGTCACAGTTCTACTTACAATGCTATACTACATTTACACACAATAGATGAGATTTTGAAGCAAAAAAAAAAACCAATCTTAAATTGATAAGTTATGTAAACAATAACCCTAATTGCAAAAGTACTAAATAGAATTTATCGGCAAGATTAATTCTATTCGCCGCTGACGGGTAAAGCGTTTTAACACTTCGCCAAACGACTATATTTAAATTGGATATTTATTAGATTATAAAGAACTATCTAATAGCAACGTCTTGCTAAATGATCTGATCTGCTCTGAAGATTCTGAAGATGACTATCTACGACTCGTATTTATAACTAATTATCGTTTCACTAAACTGTCCAAGTTTACGGATAAATGGTGTAATTTGTGTCGGTCCAAACTTTTAGCCTAATCCGGACAATCTAATTTTAACTGTGGATATGTTTGTCCAAGTTTTTGCGCAATTACCGATGACTGGATTTCATGTACTTGCCATCAGGAAAACCGGTTGAGAATGTAATATTGGAGATGTTACGGTCGGGAATTAAATTGGGGTTTTGGGAGAGCGATTTATCTTTTCGTGTAGGTGTGTTCGCCGACCGGGGGATGTTACCAGGCTTAGCTCGTA